GACGGCGTCATCCCATTCGCCCACGCCATCTGGCACATGTTCGTGGCGCTGGCGGCGGCAGTGCACTACTACGCCATCTGGAAGTACCTCTACAACGCTCCCAGCTCGGACACCCTCCTCGACTCGTGACCACGACCCCGGACAGGGCGCTTCCCGTCCCGTCACCCCCGTGCTCTCGAGCCGAGCGCGGGGCGACTCCCTCGACTGCCCGCTGAAGCTGCAACGACAGCCGCAAGGTTTACGAAAACAATGACCGTGAATTGTTTACTGTTTTCTAACAAGGAAAACAGATTTTTAAGCCACTGAAGAAAAGCTACTTTATAGCCGTTTTGTAAAAATAAAAAAAATCCTTTGACAGTCAGGAAGGGAATTTTGAACTTTTACACTTGCTGTTGACCTCGGCACATGCATAAATATTTGAAAGAGTATTTGAGAAATTTGATAGCCGTCTTTTGTATCACTTGAAGTCAGTCACATTCCACTTTGGGGGTTATTTGAGTGTCAAAACACGGAGATTGATCAGTTTCAGTGTTTTGAACACGAGGAAGGATATCGAATGAGGTGCTAAATATCCGCTCTGATCAGTAGCTCTTATATGATGTTATATCAGACGTTTAGTGTTAATGTAGGAGCTGAATTTAACTTTTATTTAACAGAAGCCAAAGGTCTGTAATGTTGTCTGTAATGAAGCATTTCCTCAAATGGAAAACTGATTTAAACTTGATCAAACAAGAAGCAAAGTAGTGATCTAAACACACGTTCAATGCCAAACAAGCCGACATTGAAAACTTCTCAGTAGTTACACATGTACAGTGTGTAGAGCCGCTCAGTGCTTCAGTGGATTCTGCCGGCAACGTTTTGTGAACACATGGAGATGTTTTTTTTTTTGCTTTCTGTAAAGTTACAGTGATGTTTTAAATCCATCTGATTCACATTTGCACTTTTTTGGTCTAATGCACAGCGCTTTGTTTCTGTGACCAGATGCAGTTTTCAGAGAACCACTGTTTCTTTTCTAAGTAGTTGGCGCCCCCTGCTGGTGGGCAGCCGTAATGAAAGCGATTCATGCTATTTCAGTTTGACTCAGGCAAGGTTTTTTTTTTTTTTTAGTAATGAGCCTAACCATGAGAGAAAAATCAGGTGAGGTGGGTAAAGGAGACAGAATTATTTTTTTTCCACTTTCTCTGTAATGTGAAGTGTTTGTATGCACGACCTTTGTACTGTGGTCCAGTATTACATTTGTTTCCACTGACTGCTCAGGTTTGAGCAGCGTTCCCCGTCGGCAGTCTTTGGAAGGGTCTGATCAGTGGGGAAATCCTCGTGTTCCCGTCTTTGTCTCATGCTGCTGGTTTTGTAAATTAGCTTCACGGCTCCTGATTTGTACAGTTATAATCCTGTTGCTTTCCTCTTAGTGATGTCTGGAGCTGAATCATTTTTTTTCTCCAAATGATTTCCTTAACCACTGTTTTGTAATGTTTGTATATTCTCTTTGCTCTGTTAATGACGTGCTCCTGGCCTTTGCAGGGGAAACAAAATCCTTCTCATATCTTCTGTTGGCTGTTAACGGTGCTGCATAACCATGAAACTTCTCCACCTTTCTGATGTGAGAATAAAAAAA